CGGTTTTCTTTTTACTAGACTGTGTGCGTGGACGAGTAAACCAGATCAGCCATCAAACAGGAAGTGGGGTATCTGCCCTCTGGGTGGCATCATAATGAAAGACAGATACTATGACGTTTCTTCTTATGGTCAAAAATCAAACCGTGAAAGAAACGATTTGACTTTTTGGAGACTTATTCACTTTCCAGAGAGTTACAAAGAAAGATTGACACCACTTTCATCTGTTTTAACAGAGAAGCATTAACCAGTAGCTTGTTAGCTTAGCCTGACATTGTAAACTAGTGGAAATAGCTTCTAAGATTGTCCACAAGTAATCTGTGAGCACCTTTAAACCTAATACATTTGTTTAATGTAAAAAATAACCAATTAAAAAAATCAACACTTTGTGATTCTTATGCAGTGTTGTGTAACTAGACTCCCAGTCTTTGTGCTAAGCTAAGCTAACTGACCTTTACTTAACTCGCAGATGTCAGAGCAGTGCCAGTCTTTTTGTTTATTATTATTTTAGGTCAGAGTTAACCGTACTTTCCAAACCTGAATTTATCTGTTGATTTTTGTTTGAGTTTAAAAGAAAATGTATTTTAAAAATACTAAATGTGGACTGTAGTGTATTTAAATGTAACATTATTCATTAGCTATATTTATATAATATAACTATTAATATGTGTCATGATTTCTACATATGATAGCACAAAACAACTGTATTCACGTGATCATTTCTCATCCTCCAGTTAGTTCTTCTTTTTTTAGTTCCAGTTTTTCACATTTCACATTTGTCTGTTTTTTATTTATATAATTCAGTTTACTCTGTTGACGCCAAAGGAGTTTTAGATCCTGCCAGTGACTACAGCATTTTCTGCTGGCACTGATTCTCATTCAGGAGTTTTTCTCAAGAGCATGTGTTTCATGTTAGCCGCCATTTTCTAAATGGCTGAATATCTACTGCATGCTTTGTTTAATGACCACTTTGTGCATATTATGGACTTAAAGTCACTAAGCCTTGTTGAAACTAAATATTTTAAATAATGTAGTGGCTTTTAATCTTAACTGAACTGTAATGAAGTGTATATTTGATGTTTTCTTGTTAATCCAATAAAATCACCTTTGTTGTACTGGATTTTTCTTTATTGCAAACTTTGTTTGGCATGAAGTAAAGTCATTTAAAGTGAGATAAAGTTTGAAAGAAGAACGTTTGGTTCCTTTAAATTAAAACTTTTATTCTTAATAACAAAGCTTTTTTTTTTTTAGCACACTTTGGGATTTACTTTTACAACATCACATGGTAATAGCAATAGCTAATGGTAGCTAATTTTAGCCAGCAAAAACTGACACAACACAAACTCTGGGATATCGGATTGTTATCTAATTGTTATCTAATCAGCCCCTCACATGGCACTAACTCATACATTTAGACCCCTAGACATCCTAGAGATCCCATGTTGTGGACCATCAGCTCACAACATGAATACTGGACTACCTCACCAACCAACCACAGTATGTGAGAACTCAGGGCTGTGTGTCGGACAGGGTCGTCTGCAGTACGGGGGCCCCACAGGGAACGGTTCTGGCTCCATTCCTCTTCACCATCTAAACTGCAGACTTCTCCCACAACTCCACCCAGTGCTTCTTGCAGAAGTTCTCCGACGACTCTGCAATAATTGGCCTCATCACTGATGGGGACAACAGGGAGCACTGACTGGTGGAGCTGGAGATGGTGGTAGACGTCCGCAGAAACAAACATCCTCCACTCCAACCACTAAACATCCAATGCATTTACATTGATAGCGGATAGCTACAGGTATCTGTAGCTGATTGTGTCTTATTTTAAGTGTGATGAGATATTTTGACTAGAAATTAGACAAATATACTTGGTAAAATTTTGAGTTTTTGCAGTGTATGACTCTGTGGTGGCCTCAGCCATCTTTTATGGTGTGGTCTGCTGGGGACAGAAAGAGACTGAACAGGCTGATCCGGAGGGCCAGCTCTGTTCTAGGATCTCCTCTGGACCCAGTGGAGGTGGTGAGTGACAGGAGAAAGATGGCTAAGCTGTCATCCCTGTTGGACAACATCTCCCACCTCATGCAGGAGACTCTGACAGCACTGAGCAGCTCCTTCAGTGGCAGCCTGCGGCACCCACAGTGTGGGACGGAGAGATTTCGCAGGTCTTTCCTTCCAACGGCTGTCAGACTCCACGACATGGTCACTGCAGATGACCACACATGTGCAGACAGACACACACACACACATCCCATACACAATTGTAACTGTCTCCCTGATGTGCAATACTACCAAGTGCAATTTTTCCTACAATAACAAAGCATTTTATTCTATTTTGTATAGTGCTTTATTCAATTGTATATAGTATTTTATTCTTGTTGTATAGTATGTTATTCTATTTGATCTTATCCTGTTCTATTGTGTTTTTCTTAACGTTCACTGCTCTTAAACTTTCTGCTGTGACCAAAAAAATTCTCACATGTGGGACTAATAAGGGCTTATCTTATCTTATCTTATCTTATCTTATCTTATCTTATCTTATCTTATCTTATCTTATTTTATCCTGAGGGTGTCCTGCATTAGAGTAAGAATGGTTGGTGGTAAGGGGTAACCCCTAACCCTAACCCCCCCCAAC